TTAAATGTCAGAAGATCAGGGATGGCCGAGGGGAGAAGTGGCCTCTGAGCTCATCAAATCCACGTCACGGGAGTCACAGAAATCCGAGGCCAGAGCAGAGTTGTGGGAGGCATTGCAAAGACAACTGAAGAAAGCAAAAGAATAAAAGCATGAACTCCAAATTTAGAGGTGAGGACAAATATACTGATCTATACAGGCACTGGCAGATAAAATTTAATTGTTACTATTACTTGTTGTAACACACACCCCACCCTACAACACATTTTTTCATTCACTAATCACTGAGGTACCAATATGTAAGAAAAAAAATCAATATTGAAAAATAAAACCTAAACTTGGAGCCTTTTTTTATCTTCTTCTTCTTCCCCAGAAAACTCTGGCAATTTCAGTATGAAATGTCAGGATACTTATAGAATTTTACAGTCTAGGTTGGCTTTTTATTTTCGTGTGTGTGTGTGTGTGGTTTGTGGTTTGTTTGTTTGGGGTTTCTTTTGAATTTTCTGGAACCAGAAGTGGCTTTCCCGCACAGGTCCTGTGCATGTCAGTGATCCCAGTGGAATTCCTGTGACTCAGCAGTTGTGCCTGACATCCCACCCCAGCCCAGCCCTGGCACTTTGCTCCACACACACATCTGGCCACGTTTAACATTTCAGAGCCCTTTGAGCTATGCCAGGAATTCCAGGGAGAAACCTGGAGGCCAAGCTAATCCCAGCTCTTCAAAGCACTGGAGCACGGCCTGGATGTGGAATATTTCCCAACAGCACAACCAGCTGTGCCCTGATCCACTTGTCTGACCCTGAAACCAGCTCTGGGATCCTCAGGAGGGGCTGGTTGGGGTACAAACCAGCCCGAGTTTATTCCAGCCACTTCCACCAGCTGGAACCCAGCCAGGATTCCAACATAAATCCTGGAATGACTGTTCCCCCTCTTCCCTTAACCCAGTTACAAACCAGGAGCACACCTTGTCCTTGTCTCCCTTCAAACACACCCTGCAGGTCAGGAGGCTCAATTTGCTCAAGCAAATTATTGTTGCAAAGTTCTCCTCTCCCTGTTTCAGAGAGGGAAAAAAAACTGCAGAGTTTAGTTGACTGAATAAAGCAGGAAAAAATAATTATTCTTCCTGACACCCCAGTTTACCCACCAGGTTCTCCTCTCTCTTTTTTTCTGCACTTACTCTGTTCTCTTTCCCTTTTTCATTAATTTTATTTTTTTTATGGGTTAAATCTTGTTCGATTTTCTTTTTTTTTTTTTTTTGGTCTTTTTGTGTTTTGTAAAAATGTGCTTTGGCAGGAGCTGGGATTTTTTTTGGTCAGTAATCCACTTATGCTGTGGTTTAGAAAACCTCTCAAATCACAGCTTGGACACAACGTTGCTCACTGGCCTCGTTGGCTGCTCGTGTGGCACGAGGAAGGTGCAAGGAAACCCATCCTTTTGTGTTCAACCACCTTCCCAAACAAACAGAGGAGCCAGTTCCTGCCACAGCCAGGCCTTTGGGCTTGGAAGGGGCTGCAAATTTGGGATAAAAATACTCCCAGGTGCAATCTTGACGGATATAAACTCAATATCTCGTAGCTTTGTCTCTCAGGTTCTGTATTTCTGTACATGCAGGTGTAAATCAGGGGATCCTGGAATGGTTTGGGTTGGAAGGGACCTTAAAATCATCCCATTCCACCCCCTGCCATGGGCAGGGACACCTCCCACTAGCCCAGGTTGCTCCAGCCTATCCTTGGACACTTCCAGGGATGGGGCAGCCACAGATGCTCCGGGAATTCCATCCCAAACCCCTGGAAAATCCCATTTTTCCATGCAAATCCCCCCTGATGCTGAAGGCAGTGGAATTTTACGGTGAAAAACTCCATTTTCAGGTTCAGTAACGTTGCAGGTCAGTAGTTGGTGTTTTCAGTTCCCAGGTTAATTTTCTGGAATATTTTGCATTGTGCCAGACTCTAATTATCTCCAAACAATTCCTGCCTTCCTTTACTTTCCCCCCTTTTGCCTGTAAATGTCTTATAAAGGAACTGAACTGTCCCTTTTCTCCGAGACCGGTAATTTTTAGACAGAAATGAGGAGAAATCTCCAGTGGTTTTTTTTCTGCAAACCCATTACAGGCCTTTAGGATGAGGACAATGCACTTCCTTAAAAACAGGTTAAAAGCCCATTTAACCCAAAGCAAATGAAATCAACGTTGCTTGGAGAAATTTCCAGGTACAGTTTTAGAGGACCAAAAAAAACAAACCTTGTGTTTGTTTTTTGTTGTTTTTTTTTTTTTCTTACAACATTTTCGGGCTCTGATTTTTAATATAATTTAATATCATTTTAATATAATCTCGAAGGCTTGTGGTTTTTTATATTTTCCAAGCAGTTTGCTGGTGGGTCAGCCTGCTGAATTAAATAGTGGGTGAAGTGCCCTGGGTGAAAAGCTTTGCAGTGTGTTAGAAAATTTGGGGGTGTAAGAAAAGTTTGGGCTCAAAATCAGCCACTGAGAGCAGCCAGACTAAGTGTTGGTGCTTCCTCTGAGTTGGTGCTGGGTCTTTCCTGTAGAACCCACATAATTCCTGCTTGTCCCACGCCCCAAAAATTGTCTT